ATACCAAAGGCCTCGGGGGTTAGAAGCAAGCACCTTCTTTTGGAAACACCCTCTTTACAGCATTGGGACAACACTCAAAAGAAAGCAGCACAAAGGACCAATGGACACAAACACAGAGTTTGAATCTGGTATAGATTTGCATAAGAGGAAAGCTGCTATAAAAGTGAGGTGTCTTGCAGAGGACCCCGGGTCTCGTCTTGTCAACATGGGAGCATCGATCCGGATTGGCAGAAGCCTGGCTCCACCCCCTCCCCCATCTAACTCACCTGGCCAGTGAAGTTAAGGGGAGCAACTAACTGGTAACAACAAGACAGAGTGTGTTTGTGTGTGTGTGAGAGTGTAAGTGTAATATATTATATGCATATGATATAGTGTTAATGAATACATGTATTACTAATAAATGTGGCGTTTTGTCTTATTCCCCCTGAAAAGATCCTGTGCAGTACTTTAAGTACAACACCACCACCACACCCCGTAATTACAGTAACAGTAGCTCTGAAGAGGACTTACAAGGTCTTTCAGTCTACCCAGAGGAGAGGTCACAGTTTATCAGCTCCATCTACGTATATAAAATTATAAAACTATATGTAGTATGGAATTGCAGTGTTATAGCTGTGTTCATCCCAGGATTATTAGAGACACGTGCAGAAGTGTTAACAGCCCACTTCACCATGAATGGTCTCTTACAACATGTGTTAACTCCTTATGCTTAACAATCTGTTCCACCTTGTATTTATCTGTGATGCTCTGAGTACCTTTCCCAGACCTGAAGAAGAGCTCTGTGTAAGCTTGAAAGCTTCTCTTTTTCACCAGAAGAAGTAGGTCTAGTAAAAATCTCACCCACCTTATTTCTTTAGTATGGAATGAAAGATAGCATGAGCAAGTAACAGTGAGTGGCAATTTTTAAACCTTTCTAGTGGCAGCAGAGCAGCAGTGAAGATTAGAACTTGGGAGTTGCCACCTCCTATTCCCAGGCTTGGGCCACCAGGGTGTGTATCCTCACACTTGATTCATTCAGCAACACACACAATTATGTGTCAGAAATTAATAGCACTGGAGCCCTAAAGAACCTCAAGATGCTAGAGAGAATGAGGGAGGAAGGCAAAGTTGTCTTCAGATCAGGGAGAAGGCAACAGCTCAGGGGTGTGTGGGAAAAAAATCTCTGAGAACACTAGCTACAGCCATACATTGCCCTCTCTCCAAGCTCACAGCTCCGACAGGAGTCAGCAGGGATCAGTGAGAGGAGAAAGAGGGGGTGGTGTGCAGGAAGAGAAGGTAAATTTGAATTATCTGAAACTTTAGTCAGTCCCTCAAAAGTGAACGGAGCCATGCCACCACTGGCCTCTGACATGCAGAAACTGCCCCCACACACACACACACACACTACTGCTATCTGCATTTTAAAATATATCCCTACAGACCTATTTCCAGAACATGAGAAGCCAAAGAAGCCCCTATTGTTAAGTCCACTCTATATGCATCCGAAGAAGTGGGCTGTAGTCCACGAAAGCTTATGCTCTAATAAATTTGTTAGTCTCTAAGGTGCCGCAAGTACTCCTGTTCTTTTTGCAGATACAGACTAACACGGCTGCTACTCTGAAACCTGTCATTATTGTTAAGTCAGCAACCCACACCCTAGCAAATAATTACATGAGACTGCTAGAGCCTAGGAAGAAGCAGTTGTAGTTTCGACATTACAGCAATTGCTAAGAGAACGTTTGTTTCTGGGGGAATGGAGCCATGAAAAGGACACTGGTGCCTTTTCATCTGGGAGAACCCAGTAGGGGCAGTGTGTCATGTACAGGAGGTGTGAGACTTACTTTGCTCTGCAGCAGCTGTAGAGCAGGTTTGCCTTGCGGATCCAACTCCTTTGAGACCCGTCTCAGAAAGGTGGTTGCAAGTTGCCTCTGATAATAGGGCATGAAATTCTTCACTGTGGCATCAGATCGACCTGGGGAATGAGAACAGAGATGACCATGGTGTTTCAGTGCTCTCCCAAGGGAGGTGATGCAGGCTTCTGTGTCTAATTAGCATTGTTCCCTCAACCAATAGCTTGTGAATTACCAGCGTGGGCCCCCAAGGATGAGGCCAACAAGTTCAGATCAGATCCAAACCTCTCCAAAGTTCATGAGCACCCCTATGTGGAAGTTCTAATCTGGGCTCTCTCTACACATATTCCAGACTCATAGGATCACTGTAAGGCTACCACCAGATTCTAACAGCAACTAATGCTCATCAGAGGAGGAATCAGAATAAACAACATGCAGATAGACAATGCTGGGGAACTCTGACTTTAAAAGTGCCTAGGAGGTGCACACTATGGGCCTTTATGTCCCTCTCTTCGCTGATGAGTACAGTGTGCCTACCAAACATAAGGAGGAGCATGTTCAGCTGGCATGGGGGAAGGAAATTTGTCACTCTGCAGTGACCTCTGCAGCTGAGCAAGGAGCAGCAGCACTGATAGGTTCTGACAAGAAAGTCCATCTAACCTTCTTTGACCAAGGAACATTGACATGATGCAGGGTGTGCAGACGTGGGGCAGGAATCTACTTCCATTGAGGAATGGGGGGAGCACCACAAGAGAGGAGCCAGACTTGAGATATAAGATTTACTATAGCATCTCTGGGGTTATTACATTTATATTACGGTAGCACCCAAGAACCCCAGTTAAGATTGGGACCCCATGGTGGTAGATGTTGTACAGATGTAGAAGGAGATGCTCCCTGCCCTGGCCTGACAGTAAGTTTATTTTGGAAGAGTCTTGCCACTGCCCCACCAGTATCTAGTATGGGAAGAACCCGAAGGTTCTTTCCACCTACAGTCACGGATCATAATATAATTGCCAGACATTTTAGCTTCACACTGCCCTACGAGGTAGCTTAGTGTGATTTTGCACTGGGGAAACCGAAGCAGAGAAATATGAAGATACCTTCCCATGGTCAACCACAGCCTGGAGAACCTAGGTACCCCCACTGCCGGTTCCCTATTCTAACCACTAGATCACACTCTTGAACTGCTGTACTTCTACACTCTGGGAAGCAGAAGCCAACCAAAGCAGCCTGTGAAAATGGCAAACAGTGAAGCAGTAGGAAGATGGCTCTGAATGTCAGAGGGTCTGATGCAATTAAAAGATAAAAGATTCCTACGTGCCATTGCTTCTCCAAACAGATTCTCTCCATAGTCTAGAAGGGGAGATTAAAACGAGACAGCAAATTCACTAATAACTGAGGAGCTGTTGAAAGGTCATGCCTGCATTCTATTGTGACCTCAGGCAAAGCTGACAATGCTGCCACAGTATGAATTTCTGAAGATTTCCTGTGATACATTCCCCAGCCCACCCCCTTTAGCCTGGAGACTCATGAAGAGGCAGAGAGAAAAATGTGGCTCAAACAGTGAGTGGGGAAAAAAGAATGACAAAAGTATAAAAACAAGACATTTCCCAACTCACTCACTCACTCTCTCTCTCTCTCTCTCACACACGACCATTTACATAGGAGGGGGACAAGAGAAAGGCTCTCAGAGGCCCTTCTCACTGTCAAACTAATTCTGTGTGTTTGCCTGCATATTCGAATGCCTTTGAACTGTTGGCGGATTTACTATGGAAAAGAAAAGTAATCAAACCCTAAATTAGATTTTGTGTTTCACAGCCCAAATGTGAGCTCAGTGAGCACTCAGCCAGCATTAGTAGCTTTCCAAAAATTCAGAACAAGTTGTGGGATGTGCTCATACTGACCGCTGGAAAAGTCTGCCAGCTTCTGGGAGGAAGACAATGTATGCTACTACACTACCCTCTTTATGGAGTCCTGGATTAAATTTGATGGTACCAATAAAGCTGCTTAAATGGACCTGAGGGTGGAATTTCCAGTAAAGCCAATGATTGCAGTGGAGTTTTCAAGTTCCTTTTGCCACAGCTATTCCGCCAAAGCAACACAAACAGTTTTAGCTGGAGTAACCACATCTGTGACCCAGCACAGCTGACGACCGATGAACCTCCTTTTCCATCACCATGCACCATATGTATTGTCATCTGCACCCCTGCAAAATTAATGCAGACTGCTACCAAATCAGAATAGCAGCATTTTACAACTACTTTGCACAGCTGTAAATGACAACACAAGGTACCAGGCAGGGGACAATCGTGTCCAACAGATGCAGGTCAGTTAAACAGACCTCTGCCCCACCCTCAACCTCAAATGCAAAAATATGAAAAGTGAGCATCTGAAATCAGAAGGGAAGAGCTTCAAACCACTGTACTGAGGCCAGCAAAATGGGCCTCAGGAAGGTGCTCTGAATAGTGCAAATAGTGCAACCACTTCCAAGGACGTAGGAAACTGAAGTCATATTTCTTATCAGACCAAATCATTACAGCAAATTGCACAGAAAAATAGAAGCTGAGATTGAGTCCTCACTCACTCCAACACTTTATGGGAGGCCTCCTCATTTTTTAAAATTTCCTGTGGGCTCATTCACCCTGCCCAGGGAGGAGATGATGCAACACCAGAAATCTCACCAGAGGTTAGAAGGACATATCTGTGAGAGCTCACTAACAAAGGGACTCATTGATAAATTGGAGAGGGTTCAGAGAAGAGCCATGATAATGGTGACGTATACCCCATAAGGCTTCATGGGAATATGCTTATGAATGTATATATGATATAACTGGAATATGTTTTATGCTACATATGCCATGTAACATATCTATGCAAAGGTTATGATCTACTGACTATAATCATCCTATTTGTATGCATGTGTCATTGTTGTATTCGAAGTTATGAATATTGGCTGTGTACCTGCTTGATTTCTAAGTAGTCTTAGTAAAGCATTTGGTCAGCTTCTTGAGAAAGGAATGTGCAAATTAAGTGCCCAATCCAGAAACACTTAAAAGGACAATGAATCTTGGAAGGCTCCAATCCACTTAAGAAGTCTACTTAAGGACGTTCAGGGTAGCATGTAAACAATGGCTGCTGCCTGTAAAAACTGAGTCATGCATGGATATATGACTTGCCCATGTGACTCCAAAACTCCATCTTGGAGCTGGACTTTGCATAGGAGAGAGGAGGGGGTCTCCACCCACAAGAGAAAGTCTATTTAAATCCCTGGGAGATCCCTCCATTTTGGTCTTCAGTTGGCTCAAGAGATAGCCTCTCCACCCCAAGGATACCTGAAAGAAACTGGAACAAAGGACAGTAACCAGAGGGAGTGTGAGTGATAGCTGGATCCAGACTAGAAGGAGACTAATCTGTAAAAGGAAGCTTACTGGAACTTCTGTGAGGGTGAGATTTTATTTGTATTCAGTTTTATTACTGTATTAGGCATAGACTTGCGTGTTTTATTTTATTTTCCTTGGTAATTCACTTTGTTCTGTCTGCTACTACTTGGAACCACTTAAATTCTACTTTCTGTACTTAATAAAATCACTTTTTACTTATTACTTAATCCAGAGTATGCATTAATACCTGAGTTTTATATAGGGTAAAACGGATTTATTTGGGGTTCGGACCCCATTGGGAGTTGAGCATCTGAGTGTTAAAGACAGGAACACTTCTCAAGTTGCTTTCAGGTTAAGTCTGCAGCTTTGGGGCACATGGTTCAGACCCTGGGTCTGTGTTGGCGCAGACTGGCGCGTCTGGCTCAGCAAGACAGGGTGCTGGAGCCCCAAGCTGGCAGGGAAAGCAAGGGCAGAAGTAGTCTTGGCACATCAGCTGGCAGTTCCCAAGGGGGTTTCTGTGATCCAACCCATCACAATAATGATTTAAAGGATTAGAAAAAAATGCATTACAGTGACAGACTCAAAGAAAACAATCTATTTAGCTTAATGAAGTGATTAAGGAGTGACTTGATTACAGTCTATAAGTATAAGTATGGGGAACAAATATTTAATAATGAGCTCTTCAGTCTACCAGAGAAAAGTCTAACATGATCCAACGGCTGGAAGTTGAAGCTAGACAAATTCCGGCTGGCAATAAAGCATAAAACTTTAACAGTGAGAGGAATTAACCATTGGAACAATTTACCAAGAGTCGTAGTAGATTCTCCACATTGACAATTTGTAAATCAAGATCTGCTCAAAGAATTATTTTGGGGAAGTTCTATGGCCTGTTTTATAGGGGGTCAGATGATTATCACAATGGCCTTAGAATCTATACATCTATGAATGTGCTAGTGTTTAGTGAAACCATAATAAATATCTAAGGATAGTCATGTCTCTCTTATAAGCCTCTCTCAGCTGACCTAGAAACTCTGTACATGCATTGGCAGCAGTGCCTAATGATCTAGATAGAGATTATGAACTAGTCTCGTCTCCCTGGCCAAGAGTTTAGCAATGCCTGCTGATGTGCTGTGACGAACTGGGACTGTTCTTAATGTGGTCTTTGAATGCTGAATGGGGAGTGTTGGCCTGGGAAGGTTGCAGGGGAGTTTTGCTGGGACTGTCTGCTTTGGGGATGGGAGACTTTCCTTGAGGGAAGATACCTGAGCATGTAACATGAGAAGCCAGGAAGGGGGTTGGAGGCCAGGTGACACCTCTGCCCTGAACACTGGACAAAGGGTGGAGGAGAAGCCGGGGGGAGGCTCAGTGAGATGGCTGGAGGGAGTTTCAGTTTGGAGCTGGCTGGGGAAATGGAGGGGAGCCCAGATGGGTGCTCGGGCTTCTCAACGGGGCTGTGGTGTCCCTGGGGCTCAAAGATGGACCTAACTAAGGGGGTCCTGTTGTCTGTACCTGCAAGACCTGTCTTGGACTGTGTTCCTGTCATCTAAATAAACCTTCTGCTTTACTGGCTGGCTGAGAGTCATGGTGAATCGCAGGAAGCTGGGGGTGCAGGGCCTTGTCTCCCCCACACTCCGTGCAATCTGCAAACATACCCTATGTAACAAATACACAAGTTAATTAAAGTTGGGACCCAGGAGGATATTCAACCTGTTGTGGAGCAAAAGGCATCTCCTGTTCTTATTCCCTGCCTGCGCTGGATGATTTTCCCATTTTACTTGTTTAACCTTGTAAGGTCCCTGGAAAATGGCTGTGAGCCATGCAGTAACCTACATTTTGTTTTCCCTGTGGCTCCACACAGTTATTACCAGGATGATGGTGGCTATGGATAATATTTTGAAGTAAACCACGACTGGCTAATTTCAGAATAAACTAGATAAAGGGTACTGGGGGATGCTGGGCACTGAACCTGCACTGAAGTTACTGGGAGTGGCAGGTGCTCAGCATCTCCCAGCAAACTGCCCAGCAAAACAAAAGCCACTGAGTACATCCAAGTGATTTTAAACAGACTGTAGCTCCTGCAGTGCCACTGGAAGTCAGTCAGTGAGAGGGCAAGCAAGGTATCCAGTCTACAGTCTATGCTAGCCAGTGTTGCTGGCCTGACAGAAAAAGAACAGGGCTCCATGACAGGTGAATTTAAGCCAGCAACTTCAGCTGGTTAATCCACACTGCAACTCTGCTGTCAGACTTAGAGGTGACTATTGCCTAGATGGGAAAGGGATCCACTGAGGAAGACCGTGATCTCCATAAGTGAGGTGATGGAGGAATGATGTTTGAATGACAGAATCCTTTTAGAAAGAGGAGGCTACAGCCATGTCAGAGAAGGAACACCACCCCACAAGACAAACAACTTGGCTATAGCTGTCCCTGGTGTATCTAGGAAGGAGTTAATCAAATTGCATTAGGGGTATATTTTGCCCCTTGATGTTTGAGGAACATCCTGATATCTGGGTTTTTACATTAGGTAAATAATCATTATGGTGAATACCATCCTAGTCACTTCATATGACTTCTTTCTCTCTCTTGCTGTATCCTTCACTCACCCGCCACAAGCCAACGGAGGTTTTTAAAAGTAACCTGAGAACTAACACTAATTTGGATTAGATACACAAAACCAAAGTTTTGTCCAGCCATGGGCACTAAAGGTCCTGTGTGCAGTTTGCATGAGCCCAGGTATTAACAATAGTGTCCTGGCCAAACTGCAGCTCAGACCATTACACCCTGTTTGCTCAAACTCACTCAGGTAGGATCACAGAAATATAAAATGAGAAGAACAGATCCTCCAATACCTGCACCCCTACAATCACAGGCAGTTATATGGGATACTCCCACCTGGTCCTAATAGATGCTCCTTTTCAATGCTCCAGAGGGAACCAAATAACCCAAAGGTCCCTGTCAGGTCTTCTCTTTCTGTCCTAAGTTATTGTGTCTAGTTGTGCTGTGTGCTGTTAAACTCTGATTCTCAGTTTCCCCATCTGTAAAATAATAAAAGTAATTACTAACTTAGTACTAATACACCTCTACCCCAATATAACACGACCCGATATAACACGAATTCAGATATAACGCGGTAAAGCAGTGCTCGGGCGGAGGGGGGAGCTGCGCGCTCCGGCGGATCAAAGCAAGTTCAATATAACGTGGTTTAACCTATAACGCAGTAAGAATTTTTGGCTCCCGAGGACAGCGTTATATCAGGGTAGAGGTGTAATATCAACCTTCCAAGGGAGTTATACAAGCCTACCTTGCAGGGAGCTGAATGAATACTTAAAAAGCACTGTACGTTTAAAGCCAAGTATCATTACACTCTCACTTTGTTCACACATAGGTGCTTGTCCTGGCCCAGTGGTGAATGGATTTTTCTATATATAGTTTGTAAAACACTTTGGTGCTTGGAACACACCTGAAAGAGTCTCCAACACTACAGTAGAGAAATGGCCATGGGCAGAATAGGGCTGCAGCACAATTCTTGCACGATTAAAAATGTGGTTCCAGTTCCTGGTTACACTACAAGATGAAAGACTTTTCTGTCTTAGTTATATTGTAACCAGATTCTCTGACATCGTAGTTTTGTAGTGTAGACAGGCCCTAAAAACAAAGTCGCTCAGATTACGACTCAGCTATTTTCAGACAAATTTTGCCCTTGTGAGCAGAGGGAAACTGGACTGATACCAGGATGGGAACCTTAGTGATTTGGTATCAGATACTCACATATGGTGCCAGGTTGTGATGTACAGCTGGAGCAATGTAGACAGATGTGATAACTTTATTGGTGCCTCTGTGCTCATAAAAGGCTCATCAATTCTGCTGGCAAGCATGGATTCTCGGCACCATATATTATAGCTTGGCAAAAATGCGAGTACTGATATTTAACTGATGGCCAGGCTCCAATTTTTGAATTCCCATATGACACTAAGACTCAAAAATTACGTTACGGAGGTTCACCTGACTGTCATATCATGTCAAGTTAGATTTAACCACTGTGTAGAACATTGTTGATCCATATTTCTTTCCAGCTTAATGTCGTGATCAAATAAGCAACAGTTCAAACATGGTGGGAGGATCTTTTAACTATCCCTCCCAACATGGTTGTAGGATTTGTGCATTTTCATTCCTGGTTTGTTTGTTTTTTTAAACGTGATTGCACTTCTGAAAACAGGTGGAAAGTCTCCTTTCCTTATTGTAGCAAATCTCTTTGCCATAAGCTTCGCTGCACAGAAGTCACAGTAAGTAGTAACCACTATATCTGAAAGATCTGTAACATAACTTGTTTGGGACATCTATGTTTCAACTTGCTGTTGTTCACTAGATGCATCTTGAACCCCCTTCTCCCATCCTCTTTGTATAGCATTCCTGCCCCAGGGATGGATTTATGGTAATCTACCATATCCCAATAACCTGCAGACACATCCACCTCAGATTACATGTTTATACATTGAACTAATTGTATAGTTTTATTTTTAAAAGGAACCATCACTCTGGAAATGGTAATCAAAGCTTTTCCTTACCTCTCAGGTACCTGCGCTGTCTTCCATCCAGTGGACTTGAATACCTGCCTCCCATCTTCCACTTTAGTATCTTGCCTGTTTCCAATGCTTCCAGTCAGTCAGAGTCCTGGGCAGAGAGGAGCTGCCTGGTAAAGTGATTTTTAGGCTCCAAGAGCAGCAGGGATTGTCTTTTTCTGTCACACTCGCCTTCAGATCATCAGCTCATAAATATTCAAATAATGTTTCTGTCTCAGAGCAGTCCCTGCACCCACACCCCTACACACAAACAGGCCTTAAAGGGGCAGCAGCACTCCGGTCCATGAACCCACACCCTGACACAGAAACAGGCCTCAAAATATCCCTAAACCTTTAATGTTAAAAGGGTTCCGGCTGTTCGGAGGCTCTATTTTTGTAAACCGTGTGGTGTCTTTTGTTTCTGTACTTGATATAACCCACGCTCATACAGACTTCCTCCCTCTTGTAACAGAGTGGAACAAGCTCACAGAACACGGACATGATGGAACCTTGATTATACTGAAGAGTGAAAATCCCAGATTGATTCAATAAACAGCAAAGGGCAAATTGCAATTTCTGTCCTAGCAAATCCTCTGCTTACAGACCTGAATAAGAGCTCTGCATAAGCTTGAAAGCTTGTCTCTTTCACCATCAGAAATTGGTCCCAAAAAAAAAATATATATATATAAAACCTTACCCACCTTGTCTCCACTTACTATGAAGTAATGCTGTGCAAAGGAAACAAAAAAGGATTTCTCTATCAAAGCCCTATTGCACCAGAATTTGGATTACAGGTGCTAAAGAGTCAAGAGCTATAAACTAACAGGCTGTAATGAACTAATTTATCCAAGGATGTCCTATGCCAGGGGCAGGCAAACTTTTTGGCCTGAGGGCCGCATCGGATTTTGTAAATTGTATGGAGGGCTGGTTAAGGGATGGTGCTGGGGAAAGGCCCCCACCTCCTATCTGCCTGCCCCACCTCCCCCCCGGGACTCCTGCCCCATCCAAACCCCGCATTCCCTGACAGCCCCCTCAGGACCCCTGCCCCATCCAACCACCCCTTCTCCCTGTCCCCTGACTGCCCCTGGAACCCCTGCCTGATTGCCCCCTGCTGCTCCATCCAACCCCCCCCCCTTCCTGACTGCCCTCCCAGGACCCCTGCCCTCATTCCCCCCATTCCCCCCCAATCCCTATCCACACCCCTGCCCCTGACCACACCCCCAAACTCCCCTGCCCTCTATCCAACCCCTCCTGCTCCCTGCCCCCTTACCACGCTGCCTGAAGCACTGGTGGCTGGCAGTGCTTCAGCTGCGCCGCCCGGCTGAAGCCGAACCACACCGCCACCACCACGCAGCACAGACAGCGGGTCAGGCCTGGCTCTGCAGCTGCGCAGCCCCAGGAGCTCACAGCCCTGCCGCCCAGAGCATTGCGCCGGCGGCGAAGCGAGCGAGCTGAAGCTGTGGGGGATGGGGGAGAGAGCAGGGGAGGGGCCGGGACTAGCTTCCCAAGCCAGGAGCTCAGGGGCCAGGCAGGACGGTCCCGCAGGCCGGATGTGGCCTGCGGGCCGTAGTTTGCCCACCTCTGTCCTATGCTCACTTAGGGCATCCTCCCGCTCTATACCCTTCTGTACACCATCCATACAGAGTATTTCACAGTGATTCAGGGGCTTCCTCCAACTGCACCAAAAGCCAGAGATAGCTCATCTGCAAACCAGGCACCAGTGACTGAATCTAGCAGTGCCACTGTGGGACTTTTCTGAAGTATTTCTGAACCCGAAAGCAGCATTTATTTAAAGACTGATTTCACATGGAAATGCCACAGGTCAGTGCTCAGCACCTGCTCTCAACTCTCAGTTCCCTTCTGTACTTAGTTTCTCCTGATTAGGATTAATTCAGTAACCGTCCACTTTTAACATTATGTGGCAGCCAGTTTCAGTGACGACCTCCAGGATATGTAGAAACAGGAAATCTTCCACCCTCTCTTTAAGCTGAAGCATTGAGCGCTTACAATAGCTCCTGTGCTAGATAAAAAGCAAGATAACCCTTTATGCATGACAGAGCAGTAGGGATGATTAAATAAACAAATAAGAAAGGGGCCTGAGAATCATCTGAAAGGTGATCCAGGACCACACAACAAGTGTGCAGAAAAGACACTTACAATGTTCTATAAAAACATCACACACAACATTGGAGGGTAAGATGAAACAAACTTAATTCCTCTAATGGAATGAAGAAGCATTTCCAGACACTTTCTTAGAACTCGGGTAGCTCAAAAACTGCTTATTAAAACTTCCAGCTTGTAAGAGTCCTGAGCAAAGACAAGTGCATTTCATATGTCTGAAGAGATGTGCGTTAGCAATAACCAGGATTCTGGGTGTTTGAAAGTCCCATTCTGCACATGTGCTCTATGTTAGTTTCCAAGTTTAATATGAATAAAATATGACTTCCGCTCTTTTTTATTCACTGAACCAATTCCAAGTTCCAAGGAGATCCCCACTTTCTCATGCTGCTTAAATAAATCCATGGCAAAATAGGTAGTTGCATCTTTTCTGCGAAGGATGTGCAATGAGAATCCTATTAAAGGGGGTGAGGGTTGTTATTTAAAATAGTATTAAGGGACTCTGAAAAATGACGTACACAGGTGCATAAAGATACCAGGGGCTTTACAAACACAGCAAGTCTCATCCTCTGCCCCCAAGAACTGCTATCCTACGTGCCTAATCCTGGAAGGTGCTGTGTGCCTTCCAGTCCAACAAAAGTCAATAGGAATTCAGCACCTCACAGACTAAGAGAACATAACATTTGGTAGATACAGAGGGGGACTGCTCCAGGCACAGGGGGAAGCATGAGGTGAACCTACACCCTAAGTGGAAGAAAGATGAAAGCAGCAATAAAGCAAGAGGATTGATATTAAAGGCTGGGGAAAAAAACAAAACAAAAAAGCTTCCAAGTTCCCCAACCCAGCTTTCACTCAGTCAAATGAGGCAGAAAAGTACAGGTGCATTTCCTCCTCACAGTACTGTTAGTAAATCTGTTTCCTGTTTCAGTGTGTGCACTGCAGCTGCCTTCAGACAGAAAAGTCTGAGCCAAGGATTGGTAAGAACCTCGGATGTGAATATTTTTTATTTATTGTGAATATTGTTAGAATCTATCTGGATCTCTGTAAACTAACAACCTAAGGGAAGGGTAGAGCATACAGCTCACTAACAAGCCCTACACTCTGCCCAGCCTACTGGAATTCATGCCCTAAAAGAGAAGAGTGTGCAACACAAATCAAGGAGAAGCCGCAGAACCATACAGGAGACACCTGGAGGTTTTTTTGGGGGGGAAGGTGGCATGTTTATACAGTACTGGTTGATGAGAAGGGACATCGAACTGTGGGTTTGATCCATTAATGGAGGTATAAAGACTTGTCATTCTAATGCCCTTGCAGGGCTCTCTCTCTCTCAGATCTACCTCGAGGAAAGGAAAAGAAAACATCCATGGAAGGAGAAGAGGCAGATGTTCTGGATCATAGTACTGGCTTCAATATCTTTGCTTGCAGACAAATGCCCATCAAAGTTCTGTCCAGCTTCTATATATCATATTTACATATTATGTATGATCTACCGTTTAGAAGTCTTAACTCCTATGTTCTATTACCAGTTCTGCCAGTTTTGCTGTGGACCTAGGGCAAGTCACTTATCCTCATTGCCTCAGTTTCTCCAACTGTAAAATAGGACTAAATAATATCTATTCCCCTTTATAAATCACTTGGAGACTATTCGAGGCTATATATGTGTGTAGTAGTAGTAGTAGTAGTATTACCACCAACTTCTAGCCTTGGTTCCAGAGAATAAAAAGCAGGACTGGTAGCTCTGAGGCCAATATAATTTAATCAGCTCTTATTATTCCTCCTGGACTGACTGCAGTCCTAGGAGTATGTTCCTGAGAACTTAATGCTGACATCAGCGGAAATAGTTACAGATGAACAGAAGGACATAAGGCCATGACTGCCTGAAATGCAAGATGACAAGAAGCTAAAAAGTACGGTTCTCTCATATCTCACTAACCCAAAGTGTACCTATGAGGATCTTCAACGTATACAATCCCGTAGCACCCAGATTTATGCACAACATAATGGAACCAATCAAACAGGGTAACTCTGGCCAGTAGCCAGGGCAAACCTGAGGAGAGAACCTCTCCATAGAGAGTCCATTCACAAACAGTGTAACCAGGGTCCAAAAACATGCAAGTACTACTGACGTCCGTGTTCTATGATGGACCGGTTCCATTGGACATTGAAAGGATAACAGTGGAGAGAGAACAAGAGCCTGAAAAGGATCCACAAAACTGTCAAGTGAAACAAAAAGTTATCCTGACTCCAAAGTTGTTTGGAGCATTTCCAAGCAAACATTTGTTAGCAGACCTCAAACTTCACCTCCTCACCATGGCACCTGCATCGCTTCCCCTTAAAGGAGTATAAATACCATAGAGTCAAGGGTTTCCCAAATCCCAAGGCTGTTCCTGCAGCCTCTCCTCACAAGAATAAGGGCTGAAAGATCATGCCTTTAGTTGATATTTAAGCAAGAAGTACTACCTGAAGATAAAACAAGAGTCAAAAAACTGAAATGTACATCTTTAATATTGTGCATTCACTTTACACATTAACCGTTCACAAGACAGACTGCATCATACTGTCCTCCTCTGCAATCTCCAACATTTCCATTTGCAGCTAGAGACCAGCTTTGAGAGTCTTATAGCTCCCCTCCCCGACCACAGATTATTACAGTGCTCCACAAAGTACCACTTGCTTAAAAAAAGAGAAACAAAAGACAGTGTTAATTTAGTGCCACATTCAAGTACTACAACCAGAGTCCTCAATCTGGAATGTTGTAGAGCTGGCTCTATGCAAGAACTGCAGCCAGTGCTCCTGAATCGCCACCCTGAAACCCAGTCAAGTGTTTGGTTCTACAAGATAGAGTGCTTCTCGAAGGGAACAGTCAGCTCCTTGGCTGCAGACTCATCCAGAAACCAGTGCAGCTTTCCAGTATGAGGCTGGACAAGAGCAGCAGGGAGGGGGTTCTCCTCATCGCCTTCCAAAATACGCTGTCCAAAGAAACAGAACATTAGCACTGCCAGTCCCACTAATCTAGGGGGATCATAGTGCAGTGAGACAGTCATGGAAGTGTTCACCATGCCAAACAAATGCTCTAGAATTGGCCAAAAAATTTTCCATCAAAATGTTTTTTTCAATGGGAAATGATTTTAACTAGATGGATGGATTGTTTTGTTAAATTTAGGGTTTTCATCAATCAATTTTCTTCATTTTTAAAACTTACCTTTAAGATGGCAGCTTTACTTTCCCCTGTAGCAACAAACACAACAGTCCGTGCTGCATTCAGAACAGGCAATGTTAGAGTTATCCGCTCAGGTGGTGGCTTTGGAGAATCACTAATAGAGGCAACTATCTTCTCTTTTTCCTGCCATGAAAAACAAAGCCAAAGTGTGAAAATGGATCAGAACAGTGCAGAGATAGGAGTCAAAGCAAAGGACAGCCTCACTGAACTCAAGCTTGTGCTATTTAACTATGATTAAGCAGCCAGTAAAAGGAGTCCAAATATAATTATCAGGCCTCAGATCCTGGTCGGCATTAATCAATTTTAAAGTTTTCTAGGCAGACTCATGCATCCATATACAGCTCCACTGAAGTCAACAGGGCTCCATATGGGCACAGGGTTACACCCACATGAATCAGATTGCAGGAACAGGGTTAAGTGAAGAGGAAAGAGCCAAATTCCATCTGCTTTTCCTCTTGTTCACACTTTCCTTTTTTAAAAATCACATTCCAAATACTGGCAACTGCCAAGTTCTAATGCCATAACTAGAGCTGTTCATCAAACTCTTAAAACAACCACACACGCATGCACTCAAACTTACCACCTAGAGACAAACTAGAATGGAAAAAAAGGCCTGCCACAGTAGTGAACAAATGCACATTCTTATCCCAGTTTACAGTATCCCCTCCCTGGGTCTGTAAAATCACCTGCAGAAGTGGATGATCTGGAAATAGGGAGCAGGTGTGACCATCTGGCCCTATTCCCAAAATCAGCAGATCAAAGACAGGCATGTTCTCACCTTGAAAGGCCTGCAAGAAGGATCAAAAACCCAGAGAGATTAGAGAGAGGAAAGCACAAATGAGCACATTGAACAGAAAAAGGAGATATCACTGCAAAAGTATAAATCACATCAGGAATAAGGCTATATAACTGCTGAACACAGGACGCTCACACACTGCAATGAATTTCTGTTCACATATACAGCTTTCTGGCATCTCACAATTGAACACACTGTCACAGAATGCAGCTGGGTTACAATGGCAGAAGCTCAGCAGTAGGCTGTACACCTTTGGTTTAGCAACCACTCAAACACATTATACATCATTAGTTTAAAAACACCATACACATTCCACTAGAAAGCCTCCCCACTAACACACACCATCTTCACCAGCTAGAGTTCCCTCCCTGAGTACGAGCACCACATATACACCACAGTAAACACATCTCATCCACAGCGAAAATTAAAAAAAAAAAAATCATATAGGACATGAAAATGAACTTAAATTTCTTTAATCTTATCAGCATTCCAGTCTATGCAAGTGGACACCAATTCCTGTGTTCCCAAGATGGCCTCCCCAGTTTATTTGGGGAATTCAATGTCTTGGTCAACTCAAGAGTGGTCTTGTTAAATTAGTTGGCTCCAAAAGCACTATGTGGGATCTTTTGGGAAGATTATTAGCAGTCCATCATTTTGGAGCACAAGGATTATTACAGAGAAATAATTTAGGACAAGAGGACTGAATTTAGTTTTTGTACTTGCAAAAAATAAAGGTTTTACAGAATCTATGATTAACAAACATTTTAATGACTTTTTTGCATTTTAAGTAGCATATTCCCGGGTGTTTGTGGAACATTAACATTCCCCTACAGCACTGTCAATTCAGAAACAAAAAATTCATGTTAATACATGAAAACTAGTCTGAATTAATTCCCCTAGCTAACTGAAGTGCAGTAAGAAAGCAAGTAATATTAGCAGTAAAAAGTAAATTAAGTGTTTAAAATTCTCTGTTTGAATACCAGCAAGAGCTGTTGGTAACACAGCCAGTGGAACCTATTTAGTAAATTAATGACTTTCACTCTTACTTGAAGAAGTATGATATACAAAACAAAAACTTTCCACTGTACCTCTTTTAACTTTTCAGCATAATCTGAAGCAGCCTCTTCTACAGGTAGTGAGGGGTTAATGATAACCACTTGATTTTCTGGGATGGAGATCTTGGAGAGGAGGTGAGTCTGAAAGAAATAATTAAGACCCTCAAAATTCTAACCAAGAAGTTGTGCTATATTGTTTTACATAATAGGATTTTTCCCTACTACCAATTAACAAAATCAGAGTACATTTACTTTCATAACTTTTGGAGATAACAGCATCTGCTGATGAATGGGAATGTCAACAGGAACCAGAGATCCTAAGGCCTCATATACACTTAAAAGTTAGACTGACATAGCCAGGTTGGTCAAGGTGTGAAAAAAAAAGCACACACCTGAGCACTATAGCTATGCGGACATAAAACCCAGTGTAGACACAGCTTTGTCCATGGAAAAATGTGTTACCTTGGTCTTAGAAGGAAAATCTAGAATTGTTGCAACAAACGTCTTCTCTACATTCCTGCCCCGATAGCCCCCCAGGAGGTTCCCCCGCGTGCGGGGCGGGTCCCCTCGTCCTCCCCCCCGTGCGGGGCGGGTCCCCGCAGGCCCCTTACCTTGTAGGCGCCGTACGTGCTCTCCGGGTCCTCCACGGGCACCAGCCGCTCGTCGCAGAAGGCCAGGACCCAGCGGGCGGGGGCAGCAGGGCCGGAGAGGGCGGCGGCCGCGGGCAGCTCCTGGGACAGGATCCGCACCAGGCTCCCGCCCGACAGCCCCAGCGAGAAGCGGCCGCCGGACTCGGCCGCCCGCTGGGCCACCAGCTGCGCCAGGGAGGAGCCCAGCTCCTGCGGGGAGGGGAACACCGAGATGTGGCGGGGTACGAAGCCAGGCATGGCGGGGCCGGAGCAGGGGACGGGGCGAGGCAACAGCCGGTCCGGAGGGTGCTGGGCGGAGCGGAAGTTTGGGCAGTTACCGAGAGACAGCCGGAAGCTGGCGGAAAGGAATCAGGAGCACAGTGCGGAGAGGGACGAACATCCACGGGACACATCCGGAAGCGGAGTCGTTAGAGCGCGCACAACACCGGAAGTGATGTGTAAAAACGCGGCTAAGTTGCTTGGCAACCCCGGCCTTAGGAGCGGGGCGCCCCAGATGGGAACAGGGCCCTACCCCGTGCGAGTCTCCAGGGCCCGGGGGCAGCGTGCCCGGCAGCCCTAGGTGTTCCAAGCAATCGGGGGAGTCCCTGAGCGCTCAGCTTGCACGCTTTTCTCTGCCCTCACACAGGCAAAGCTCTCGTGTCGTCTCAGGCTGCCAGGAGCTGGGGCTTTACCTAAAACAGCAAATATCGCCAGACTCCTTGTCCCAAGGTTGGGGATTGGCCCTGCTTTGAGCAGGGGGTTGGACTAGATACCTCCTGAGGTCCCTCCCAACCCTGATATTCTATGAGTCTAAGGTGTTGCTTGGTCCCCAGAAAGGGCCAGTGCCACCCACAGGGTCCCTCTGAGGCAGTGAATAGTTCCTCAAGAAGGACTGCACCTCCCCCATCCAGACATATCAAGTCCCCTACCCCACGTGCACCTGCTCTCACCCTCTCTTCTCATCCCCCTCAATCTATCCAAAATCATCTTTCAGGGCTATCACTTTGAACCCCTCTCACCTCCACTCTTCCCTCCTCAGTTATAAACAGTAATAAAGTAGTTAATTTCATGGATTGGATTTTCTGGTACAGAACAGCCCATCACACCAAATAGAAATGAATGAAAGTTACACTTATTCTAAGTTTGTTTTAATGTGTTTATTTTTATTTCTGAGTTTGGTAAAAACAAATAATAGTTAGACAATATAGTGATCAGTTTTAAAACAAAATTGTTTTTCAAAGTTTAATTAGTCAATACATGACATCCTTTAAACTACAAGAAACTTTAGTATATTTAAAGTGATAGCCTGTGGCTGGTGAGCTCAGTTCCCAAACTGCAGACTCCCTCATTTTGTTTTTGAGCATATTATAGTTCCAGTTAACTAGGTTCATTCTTACCATGAATGACTTTCTTTAATGTCTGTCCTGATAAAAGGCACATTCCAGATTAAAAAAATAAAATAAAAATAAAAATCAGTATTTAAACCATTGATAATGGTCCATTAAACATTAAAACAATGTGTTTCAAAAGCATCCGCAAAACTTTATAAAAATATTTTAGATGAAGCATTAACTCCACCAGAGAAAGGGCAGAATGAAATTTTTTCTTATGCTCCATGTAGTGTCATCGAAGTACTGTAATTGGAATTGCACAGGGTGCAACAGAATATGGTCCTTCCAGTATAAATTGCATAAAAAGTACTAGTCCACTGAAAGTTCCTTAAGGCATCACATGGCTGGATACACCAGCAGTAGCTGCCATTATCTGATATGGTAAATTCAAATGCCTCCAAAACAAGGGAATGACCAGCTGCTCAGGACTACACAATTAAAATGAGAAAATAATCCATTGTTAGGACAGGTGGAAGCACAGCAGACACACACACACACCTGTGAAGGTCAATCCCTTTAATTCTCCAATTTTAAGAGTTACATTTAGTTCTAATTGTGGCAAAAGCACCAGGAAAACAAGTACATCTGGAAGTGTCTGTTAATGGACTTGCCCACATTAAAACAGAAGATAAAATTCTAATGGAGATTGGAGCAGACATTAAAATTATTACGTTCCGATTTGTCTTGTCATGTGGCCTTCATTGGTGTTCAACAATTGCCACTCATTTCCAGCAGATGGCAGCACAATTTAAAGATAAAACTACCAGTAGATATAAAAATAAAATTAAAGAAAATACAGCAGCATTAAAATTAACATTTCCTAAGACCTCACATTAGCATTAAAAGGTGTAACATTACCATGCGACTCCTCTGTCAAGACCAGCCATTTACCTCATTGTCGCCTAGTCCAGTAACAAGTTTAAATACATTATGCCAGCGAACAATGTCCCTAGGCAGTGACCCTGTGCCCGTAATTATGCTTTTTAGCCATTTACACCCAATCAACTTTCTTCAGTGAATTAACAACCTGTTTATTCTGCAGACCACAGTTTGTGAAGATTCAGAGAGACTGCACTCCAGTGGTCAACAATCTGATTAATTCCCAATCCTATTATTATTTATTATCGTAATGCTTAGAGCCCCAGTCATGGACCAGGACTCCATTGTGCTAGGCCCCATTGTACAAACAGAATACCTTAGGCAAATGAATGATAGACTCTTCAGAGCAAGACTTCCCACTACAGCGAATCTTAGATGTGTAGTTAAGAAAAAGAAATGCAAGGTGGGACAATCAAAGTCTCTACCTGAAGCAAACATGCTACTAACTAAAGGTCTATAGATAGCAACATAAAGTTGAGAGAGAAAGCAGAAGGAAACCTGCTCAGGGCATAGCATTTCTGTTCAGTTACATCCTCAGGATGTTACAATAAATAATTCAGACCATAAACACTTCCCATGTTGCACAGAGTTCCTCAGTTTGTAGTGGTTACAAAGAGAAAAAAATATCTCTAGATACAGAACAGTAGAGAAATAGCACGTCTATGCCCAGGATAGGAATACGTCACAAATTAATGTGCTTAAGACATGTGAGGACAACATCCTAAACCCCAATGAATTTGTCATGGTTGCCGATGCATTGCACGAGGACCTTGCACTATTTATCTAGCAGGAATCCCTCACTTTCACAGGCAGGGTCCCTTCTTAAACTAGTCAGCAGCGTTTCCTGCAAGACACACATCCCAGACCAGATCACAGAGCGACCTTTCTGGCACGGATCCTCTCAAAGAGGCATTCATCCAATGGAACATATTTTCCCAACTTTAGATCGAGAAAATATAACCGGTCTGATGTTTGATGAGGGTCAAATCCTTCTCTTTGTAAACGGGTTTTCTGGATTTTGAATGTGCCTTGGAAAAGAGAAAAAAAACACTAAAGTGAAAATTTTCAGAGCTGGAAACCCATGGAAACAGAGTTAGGAAGATAAATGTGACCAACACACTACTTGTTATTGGTGTTAAACCTAGAAGCCAGGTACTTCTCACCACCATACATCAGAAGTAACTCTACTGGCTGGTATGAGATGGGATGAATCAGGCCCTAGATCCCTTGGGATCAGTACAAAAGACAAATCACAATCCATTCATGGTATATGTGCTACAAACACCATAGGTATTGTTTCTTCAACCTCTGACAACGCACAATTGAAATTGCACAGATCCTGTACTGTGTTCTTGACCTAAGCCAGTGGTCACCAAACTGTGGGGCATGCACCCCTGAGGGGGACATGGCGGAATGTTCAGGGGGGTGGCATGGTGGAGCCTGGGCCAGCCCCCACAGTGGGTGGGGAGTGCCACCCAGCTCCGCCCTGCCCCCAGCTCCACTCTGGCCCCACCCCCAGCTGCAGCACTGGCCCTGCTCCTGGCCGAGGCCTAGCTCCGAACCGGGGGGGGGGGAGGGGGAGAGAGGA